AAAATTGGCTGCACTGCTGGGCTCAGAGGGTTGTGTGAGCGCTGCAAAGTCCAGCTGGCAGCCAGTAATTAGTTGAGTCCCTTGGAGGTCAGTCTTCTCCGGAATTTCCACACGTATGCCCACGTTCTGCCTCATGCTTCATGTGCTCATTCACACTTCAGCAAAATGAATGCAAAACATCCTCCTTGCTGCTCGCCTCTACGCTGATACATTTATGCCCACTGACTTTCAGAAGTTTTGTTACAAACCCTGGAGAGCAGGATGCTGACTCCCAGGATCTGCAGGCTAAGCCTGCGTGGGTTGCAGGGCTGTCATCTGGCACTCTGCTACCCTCTCTTACAGCAGAGCAGCCCTCCTTTAATGCAGTGCCAGCGGTGAACAGCAGTCAAACGAGGCTGAGCGTGAGGCAACGCTGCTAAAAGCGACATTAACTTCAACCAGAGGTGGTTCTTCCCTGGGGACGAGGGTGCCTACCACCACTTGAATTTTTCTGTGGGTCGCCCAAGTCTTTCCGAGTTACTGGCTTTCCGCCGCGAGCAGGTGGCAGCACACGTGCCAGCAGCCAGCCCAGCCCCGCAGCCCCAGGGGGAAGCCTACTGCACCTGCACCGCGGCCCTCTGCAGCAGGGGAAATCCCCAACGGCTAAAGGCTCATAGGGCTAGCCCTGTTAGCTTTGCCTCTGCTGTTGGTGACTGGTTTTGCATCTTTTTGTGTGCTTTGTAACTGCAGGGAACAGGGGATTCTCGGTCATCTCCCAGTAAGAGTCTGACAAACCTTATAGACCTCCTTAATCAGAGAGGAAGGTTAATAAAAATGAAAGGGGACGTGACACTATTGAGCAAGTGACAGAAAGGAACAAAACCTCTGGTGCTTGCTTCTCTTGCCTACCTCTGGGACAATTTAAAGATTCCTCAAAAGTAGCTCAGATCTCCACCAGGCTTTCTAGAATTATCTTTTATTCAGATTACCCAGCACTAAAACCAGTTGGAGAACTCTTTGTGCTGCTACAAACAGTTTAATCCACAATCAGTGTGAATAATGAGACCACTGAGAGACAAAAGAAGGTTGGGTATGCTTCTTGTAGGAAACAAGCTTTTTTTTTTTTTTCTTCGTGGTATGAAATTTCCTCATTCTTTTTCTCAGAATAGCTCAAGAGAACGGAAGTTTCTCAGTTTGAGATCTTATCTGCTCTGCCTTCGCAGGAAGTTACAAATGTCTTGAACAATCATAGAATCATAGAATGGTTTGGGTTGGAAGGGACCTTAAAATTCATCTAGTTCCAAGCCCCCTGCCATGGGCAGGGACACCTTCCACTAGACCAGGTTGCTCCAACCTGACCTTGAACACTTCCAGGGATGGGGCCTCCACAGTTTCTTTGGGCAACCTGTTCCAGTGCCTCACCACCCTCATAGTGAAGTATTCCTTATATGTAATCTAAATTGACCCCCTTTCAGTTTAAAGTCATTACCCTTTGTCCTATCATTACCTGCCCTTGTAAACAGTCCCTCTCTAGCATTCTTGTAGGCCCCCTTCAGGTACTGGAAGGCTGCTATAAGGTCTCCTTGGAGCCTTGTCTTCTCCAGGCTGAATAAGCCCAATTCTCTCAGCCTGTCTTAATAGAAGAGGTGCTCCAGCCCTCTGATCATCTTCATGGCCCTCCTCTGGACTTGCTTCAACAGGTCCATGTCCTTATGTTGGGAGCCCCAAATTTAAATGCAGTACTGCTCACAAGAGTGGAGTCAAGGGGGAGAATCACCTCCCTGGACCTGCTGGTCATGCTTCTTTTGATGCAACCCAGGATATGCTCAGCTTTCTGGGCTGCAAGCACACATTGCCAGGTCATGTTGAGCTTCCCATCAACCAACACCCCCAAGCCTTTCTCCTCAGGGCTGCTCTCTATCCATTTTCCACTCAACCTGAATTTGTGCTTGGGATTGCCCTGACCCATGTACAGGACCTTGCACTTGGCCTTGTTGAACTTCATGAGGTTTGAACAGGCCCACCTCTCAAGGCTGTCAAGGATGCCCACCTCTCTGGATGGCACCCCTTCCCTCCAGCGTGTCAACTGCACCACACAGCTTGGCGTCATCAGCAGACTTGCTGAGGGTGCACTCAATCCCACTGTCATTGTTGCTGTCAAAGACGTTAAGCAGTGTCAGTCTCAATACTGACCACTGAGGAATGCCACTCATCACTGGTCTCTGCTTGGACATTGAGCTGTTGACTGCAACTCTTTGAGTGTGACCATCCAGCCAATTCCTCATCCGCAGAGTGGTCCATCTGTCAAATCCATGTATCTCCAATTTAGAGACAAGGAAGTCGTGCAGGACATTGTCAAATGCTTTGCACAAGTCCAGGTTAGATGACATCAATTTGCTCTTCCCTTATCCACCAATGCTGTAACTCCATTGTAGAAGGCCACCAAATTTGTCAGGCACAATTTGCCTTTAGTGAAGCCACCTTCTTATTTTTCATGTGCCTTAGCATAGTTTCCAGGAGGATCTGCTCCATGATCTTGCTGGGCACAGAGGTGAGACTGACTGGCCTGTTAGTTCCCTGGATCCTCCTTTTTCCCCTTTTTAAAAATGGGGGTTATGTTTCCCCTTTTCCAGTCAGCGGGAACTTCACTGGACTGCCACAGCTTCTTAAGTGGATAGTGGCTTAGCGACTTCATCTGCCATTTCCCTCAGGACCCGTGGATACATCTCATCAGGTACCATGGGCTTGTGCACCTTCAGGTTCCTTAGATGGTCTTGAACCTGATCTTCTTCTACAGTGGGCTGTTCTTCATTCTCCCAGTCCCTACTTTTGCATTCTGCGACTCGGGCAGTGTGGCCTTCAGTTGACACAAACAAGCTTTCCGTTGACAGATTCTTCTAAACAAGAAGCCCTTTGGACAAAACCTTACTGATTAGAGGCAGGAGCGGTTAAACCACAGCTCATGCGCATAGTTACCAACTAGTTAACCTTACACCTTTATCCTCTTGCCATCAGCCCAAGTTACACAGGGTTTGATTCCTGTAAAATAATAGCAGCTGTTTGGTATTTTGCTCTGTTGAAAGCCTTGCCTGTCTCACTGTAGCTAGTTAGGGAGGCCTATTTTCATTTGCAAACCTATGCAAATAAACATTTCTCAGAGTATTTGTACCATGGTACATCTCTGGTCTCTGTGGTTGTTAGTCCTTAACCCAGCTAATTTAGCTGTTTCTTGACAGTCATAATCATATTTAAACTCACCTCAACATACTTTTACAGGTTCAGCAATTTTACAGATGTCTAGACAGAAGCAACCTGAAGACTAAGAGCCTCTGCCGCAAAAGTCAAAAGATAAGACCCTCTTAGAGGAACTCAAGCTGACTTTACTCCTTCTCTAGAATGAGGAGATGATAGCCCAAATACATTCTTTCAGAAGTTATTAAAGACACATTAAGTAAAGTCAGTACTACGTGTCATGACACATTACTGGTTAGAAAAGCATTAAGAAACATATATAGCTGCTTGATACAAGCTCTCACATGCTTCATCCTGTCAAGAGACTGCGTCCCCACCATGCCTGGCAATGCGGGGTCATTGCTGCTAAATGGTGGTGATTATTGTTGGAGGCATAACAAGTAAGTTAAAACCAGAAACAAATCTTAGCATCTCCGGTTCCTGTTTATTTTTCTAAACAAAGTTTATTTACTCCAAATCTTTGGAACCTAGTTAATGCCATTTTTTAAAATCACCATTTTTATACTATAGCCTTCAAAGCAGATCTGTGTATTAGGAATCCAACAGCCATAGCCATCTATGGAGTCATGAAAACTACGGAAAGGATTTCCATTGGAAAAAAAAAAAAAGAGAGGGAGAAAAGCTTTCCATTTGTTTATAGCTTCTTCAGAAATAACTCTTTTTGGGGTGGAACTTTCCATGTTTCATCTCTTCTGAAGGTGTTTTTCTTTTAAGCTGTCAGCAATATGTGGAAACTTTTTAAAATAAATGCAAAATTCCTTAAATTATGAAATTTGTGTGACTAATTAGTGAGCAAAAAGTTTCTCTACTGATTTGATACACAGATTATTATGCATGATAAAAATGCTCAGTGGAGTTGCCATTTACTGTGTTAGTCTTAGAACAGAGCAGTCTTTGAAATGTAATGACCACATTAAAAATCAAGTAGTTTTTAAAGGGCTCAAACACATGATTCTGTTTATTACTGAAGGAAGTACTCCAAAAGAAGACAGGCAGTTAAAATGTGTATTCCACTGCAAAATATACTGGGAAATGACAATAAAATCTCATATGAAAGACAATAGTGCACAATAACCATATTAGTTTCTGAGTTTTGTACACAAACAAATACTCTATTAACAAACTTCACACCATGCACAAAAAGCAAGAGCTTCACAAAAAATGATCATAAAAGCCTAGCATTGATACTGATTTTTTTTTTTTGCTCCAAGCTTGCATTTTCTGTATAATGCTTGGGAAGAATGAGAACAAGTTTGAAAATAACAATAAAGGAATTGCTAGTGCATAAGCCATTCCGATGGCGATGTTCGCTAAAAGATAATGAACACAGAGACCTTGATTCAGAGTCACACTACAGTTCTTTTGTACCTCCAGGATAAAGTGTGGGAGACGATAGTCTACTTTAGAGCCTGTTTTGGAGAAGAATGGTATGAAACAGCTTTAATATTAATGAGCATTAGCTTGGTACATTTCAAAGTAGGATGTGAATGTATCGACCTTTTTATTATGATGATATATCAATGAAAATACATTCTGTACAAATATCATCAAGACACATCTGAAAATAGAGACGGTGTGATTAATCTGTATCTTTTTAAAATAAATATGTACAATATTTACATTTTGGACGGTTTCAGAAATGAACATGTCCATATTATGTACCACTACCTAAACCAATTCTCTATTATTATAGAAAATGCATTTGCTGTACAAATATTTATAAATACATATGTATAAACTTTTTCAGTGAAATGTCTGTGGCTTCATTGAAACGAAAAGCATGAGATATTCTTATCATCAGCTAACATTTAGCTATCAAATGTCCACATATTAAACAGTCTAGAGCATCATACATCAGACAGGAGTAGATTTTCGCTGTTGAGATTATTTTGTTTTCTGCTTCTGTGCCATCATACCAGCAAATCTGATTGTCTTTTCCAAAAGTCTGCAGAAAAGCCGGCAGGACTGAATCAGTTTGACTCAGTGATTGTTATTGACTGCACCATGTCAGACAGGGTTTCTGCGTCTGCTTCTTCTTTACCATTATCTGAATTTTCTGATGAGATGTAACAGCCAGAATCTCTTGGGCAGTCATTTAACTGTGATTTGTCAAAGCTGTGGTGAGGGCTTAAGCTCTGCGTCTCCTGACCACCCTCAATGTTCTGCTGTTGTTCAACTAGAAAGAA